TGGCTCGATTGAAACGGCAGGCAGCCTCGCCCCGCCGCAGCATACAAATCGTGGCTGGCTCCGGAGGAGGCGGAGGACTGGTGGCGCTGCTAGGTCCACCTGCCGTTGTCCGGCCCGCGAACGTGGGTACATTTCACATGGGCCGACAGTTCTCTGCAGGCCATAATTAAGGAAGGTCATCATCTTGTTCTAAAATAAAAAAAACTTTGTTATTTGTTAAAAAAAATTGCTCTCAGTTGGTTCCCAAAAATCTGCTAAATTATTATTTTTACTAAAAAGAATTATTTGTCTTCGGTTGTCGCTGAATAAACTATGGAAGCTGCTAGGCATCAGCCGACTGATCTTAGGAAATGATCAGTCGCCTAGCTAGTCGATGATTTGGGTTGGTAATATGATGTGGGCCACTTGATACGCTGGTAACACAGCCACACCATAACTTCCATCCTAATATTCCCACGCGATAATCCTAGACATATAGGCCTATTACATGCACTCCTTCGCTAAATTTCTTTTCCCCCACCTCCCCCACCAATTCCCACCGGGGTGGCCTGCTTCATTCCCCTTCTTTCCAATCACAGGCATGCCCTGTAATTAAATTCCGCCCATAAGTGTCTGTACATGTACCATTACTCATTCCATGTCTCCTCGGAGCGTCTCCAACCATCAGGTAAGCTGCAACATAACACCCCCGCTTCCCACACCACGTGCGCAGCTCGCTTGCATAGCCACAACACTCAGATGCAGAAATTGCGTCGTCGGTTAGCTCACAACAAAACACCGACGAGCTCGCCATGCACCGATCACGGCAGCAGCCCCAACGAGCTTTGGGTTGTAGCAACACCGTTGTTGCGACCACCTCTTGAACCGATGATGCTCCGATGGCCCGATGATGCACCATTGCAGCACCGACGCTTTTGTAGCACCGTGTGACACCCTCGCAGCAACCTCGTGTTGGTTCCATTAAAGCACCGACAACTCAGTGGTGCTCCATCGCAGCACCGATGACTCCTGGAAGCAAGAAAGATGTTGCGAGATGGTGAGCGAGCCCTAGTTGCAGCACTCGCCACCTGCTTGAAGCATTGCGCGGAGCGCTGGTGACCCTCTATTGCAGCACCGTTGCGTGACCCCATTTGCAGCATTGGTGGTCTCTTGCATCAACGGGTATCGTCTCTCGGGTAGCCATTGAAGCACCCCACAACACCCCTTGGCATTGCACTACCCGGCGATGAGCCCTTGTGAAAGTGCGTTATATCGACTAGAGGGGGGGGTGAATAGGCGATTTTTATGAAATCTTCACTGAGGAATTTCAGGGTGAGGAAATTCCTGAGTGAAGAACTACTTGCAACGGAATAAGTACTCGGAAGTAAACATAACAGAACATGAGCATGGTCTTCATGATGAAATGAAAAACAAGCACAAAGTACAGAAAGCGTAAACACAGTATAACACAGGATGAAGACAAACAGACTGAAGAAATTGAACTGAGGAAATAGAGAAAGTCTTCAGTCAAAGTCTTCAAACAGATATGAACAAGCTCACAACACAGAAATGAGGAAATGAAGGGGTTGAGTAAATGGAACCAGGTAGCTTGGTGAAGACAATGATTTGGTAGACCAGTTCCAACTGCTGTGACAGTTGTACGTCTGGTTAGGGCGGCTAGGTATTTAAACCTGAGGACACACAGTCCCAGACACACAGTTCTGAACACGCAGTCCAGAACACTCAGTCCTACCGTATTCCCCTTGAGCTAAGGTCATACAGACCTCGCCCAATCACTCGTGGTAAGTCTTCAGGTGACTTCCAAACCTTCACAGACTCGGTCACTCGGAGATCCACAATTTCCTCTTGGATGCTCTAGACCATGAATGCACAATCTTCAAAGGTAACAAGCGTCGGATCCACACAGGATCAATCTCTTCAGTGATACTCAATCACTTTGGGTTTGGGTTTTCCTCACTTGATGATTTTCACTCAAAGTCCTCGAAGGATGGGATGCTCTCAAATGACAAGTGTCAGTTTCTCTCAGAGCAGCCAACCATCTAGTGGTTGTAGGGGGCGGCTATTTATAGCCTAGGGAGCAACCCGACATGATAAGGCATAAATGCCCTTCAATGATATGACCGTTAGGTGGGTAGATATTTAGGGACAACTGGCGCATAGCACAACAACGGTCGGAATTTTGAGTAGCAAAATCCTCAGGGCTATCATGTTCCTCACTGTGTAGGCTATCTGCACTGGCGAATTCCTAACTCCTCGGTCAGAACAAATTCCTCAGAGACAAGAAGAACTTCATCTCTGTCACTGAAGAAATTGACTAAGCTGTATGAGATTTCCAATGGCTTCACTCGAAGGGATTGGTAGCTATAGGATTTGAGTTGAGCATTACTTGGAAATTTTTCCTTAGTATTTCCTCGATCCCCTTTAACAGTACGGTGTTTCCTATGACTCAATAAAGAGAAAATGAAACTACGAAAATAAAAGTCTTCATGCTTCATGTTCCTCGAATGAATACCAAGTCTTTAGGATTACACCAATTTCTTCACTTTCAAAGTCTTCAGAAAGTCTTCAGAAATACAAAGTCTTCAGTCGAAGAACTTCATTTTTAGGGGTCGACTTTCTCTGTAAACATCAAACTCCTCATAGACTTATAGACCTGTGTACACTCACAAACGCATTAGTCCCTTAACTTATAAGTCTTCAATACACCAAAATCACTAAGGGGCACTAGATGCACTTACAATCTCCCCCTTTTTGGTGATTGATGACAATATAGGTTAAGTTTTCAACGGGGATAAACATATGAAGTGTAAATACTGATATTGAGGATTTTGATTGCAAGATATGGAAGAACTCCCCCTGAAGATGTGCATAGAAAGGAATTTGCTTTTGAAGCAATGCACACTTGAAGAGAAGAATCATGGAAATCTCCCCCTATATCTTGTAATTCATACAAGCATTTAACATATAATACGAAGAGTTTGAAATGCATGAAGAAATATGGTGACTGATGTAATTCAGCATGTGTGCATTAACATTAATGAGGAATAAGCATGCAGAAAAACTCAGCAGAAGTATCAGACCACCATAGAGTTTAAGTTTACAACTCGATCCAGCAAAGTCTTCAAAAGAACGAGAGTCGTAACTTAGAAAAAAAACACCCATATAAGTACACCCGCTTGAAGACTAACTCAAATTTCTCCCCCTTTGTCATCGAATGACCAAAAGGATCAAAAATGAGGACTAATGCCCCTGAAGAATATCAAGTTGATGGAGGAGCACCAGCGTTGTTGGGGTCGTTTGTCATTGTAGGGCCTGCCGCAGTGTCGTCCAAGCCTTCATACTCGTCGGTGTCGCGGGATGAAGAATAGGAGCTGGCCACCAAGGTAGGAACTTTGACCTTCTTGAATTTCTTTGGAGGAGGTGCAGACCAGTCAAAGTTCTCCTTGAGACCCATTTGCTTCAGATCTTCCTCGCCATACAGATGTGATAAGACAGCCCAGGTGCGACCAAAAACTTCATGGAGGTAGTATGGTTTTTCTTCACTACATTATGTGTAGCAGTCATGTTGTGAAGAATTGAACCAAACTGACGCTTAACCCATTTATGGTTGCGATCCACCTTCTGGTGAAGACTAAGACGCAGCTCATGGTCAGTCATCACTCTTGGAGCTATGGCTTGAGGAGTAGACTTGGGTGCATTTGCAGCAGAGTCATGAGTGGTAGAGTCATCATTGGTGGAATAAGATGCAACTTTGCGAAACTGACCATCCAATGGACGAATGCCTTCATCAATGACAACAAGTGCCTTCCCTTTTTCATTGGTTGAGGTAAAGGTCAGCTTGAGGACTTTAATCGGGGGCAGGTAGCTGAGGTGATTCTGAAAATCAGCCTTGTAGTTGAGTGAAGACCTTGTTCTGAGGAATCTCATAA